TTTCCTCAGACATCAGTGAGCTACAAATTCATTTTAGAGACTATGGTTATATTTATATGATTGTGTCAGTCTCATTGTTGCTCATTATCCTACTGTGTCTTGTTTATCTATGCTATACCAAGATTCGCTATGTTTTACAAATTAGGAGATCCTCTCCTTCCAGGAGATCTGATGATGCTCAAGCATCTGTGAGATTTATTCAGTCTCCTACCCCTAAGCCTGCAATTTATCCTAGATTGGAGATGGACTCCTCCACAGGAATCTTGTCCATTCGCTGATCACTTTCTGAAAAGAAATTCGGCTGGAAAAGACAAACAAAACAGAGAATCAGAGGCCAGAAATTCTTTTTACAATTTCTCTATTGCCAGAGACCCATATAAAACTGCAGGTATGAAAATGGCACTCTTTTTCTTTGAAGTGACTTTATATCTACGCGTTCAACATCTCTTTAAAAGGATTATCGTCCTCAAGGACCAACTCTTCCTCCTTTTCTTCTGCGACGGGTTTATCCGCCTCTTCCAGCCCCAGCAGATCCACCACTGGTTGGGCTTCTGGATCCTGCTGATCCTCCAGCGTCAGCATCCTCACCAGTTCCCGCATGTACGATGACTGTACAAAAAGACAAAAGAAAAAGCCCCAAGCAAAGCATCAAAAATTATTGCATGCGCTGTTTTGTATTTACATGCTATTATTTGCCTTGCCTGAATGTTGAAACTCTTGGGGACCTAGCCCTGATATCTGCATAGTTCTGAGAGAAAACTTCAAATTCTTCATCATCAGAATCTAGCCCATTAAAAAATATGTTGGGCATAAATCCTACTATGCATTCTTTAACTTTAGCTTTATCCAACTTTAAAATTCTTTTCTTTCTCTATTTTTGAAGGCATGCACAAAAAAGCAAAGCAAGCATAAAAGCAAAAGCATTGTTAATCATTTTTTATTAAAGCAAAGAAAAAATTGGCTAACCTTGTTCCTGATGAACTTCACAAGCCAAACCAAAAACACAGCCAGAGACGTGGCTCCAGCTCCCCCAAGGCCCATGAAGACCAGGACCATTGCCATCCACGGGTCCACGTCCGCCTAGACGTGCGCAACACCATGTTTAATGTTGACCGTCACTTCCGGCATCAACAATGGTGCCCTGATGACGTGTGGCACCTCTTGGGCCACTACGACGCTTTGCTGCATCAAGGGCGGCGCCCGAGCAACAAACGGCATTTTGCTCGCCGGCACGTGGACAACCGCCAGGTTGACTGTCCGCGCCACTGGGCGAGGCTCATCTGTATATACACAATATTTTATTAATTTGGTGGAGGAAAAATTTTGTGTTCGTGTCGGTCAGGTGTTGGGTATGTGTTATGATGTTATGTGTGTGAGTTGTGTTCTGAAATGTTTATGTTTGTATGGAAAAGCTGAAAACAACTCACCAACCACCGGCGGAACTGCCGCTGTCAAGATCTCCGGTTCGGGCGGCACAACTTCCTTGCACCACTGCCATGGCGTCACCACTTGATCCATCTCGGACCAACGTCCGACGCACACCGTCGGAGACAGCAGTTTCACCTCCTACAAACAAAACTGGCTGTCATGCCTATCACTTGCCCCACTTTGACCCGACACTCACCTTGAGGTCCGCCTGCCTGACGCAGTCCAAAAACAGCATCACCCCGACGAACGTCACGCGGCGCCCGTAGCCGCCGTCGCCCCTCACCTCCTCGCTGCAGACGTCTCGACACAGGAACGCACCGTCTTCTGGACCACAGTCCGCACCAGCACCGACCAGCAGCCAAAGCAGCAACGTCGCAATCTTCAGAAACGCCATCTGTCAAAATTTGGAAAATTTGTTATTTCTGAAAAATATTTTTTTTTGCTTGCAAAACTCACTTTGTTGAAGTCTTCTCTTGAAGAAGTTGAAGATCCCAAGCAGAAAAAAGTCACTAGCCAAATGAACGATTTGCGAAACAATGTTTGAGGCCACCAGCAGCTCCAGGAGACCCATCAACTTCCAACGATTTTGTTTGACAGGAAGTCGTTACGACGCTGCGTTGTTTGAGACAAAAATCGTTAAATTAACAACCAAAAATTTTGAAAAAATTAATATAAGTTAACAATACTCACCAAAGAGTACCGCCAAAATTTCAGGCCCAACGGATCATCCGTTAACAAATGGCACTTGATGCCGACTGAAGAAGATATTATCATTCTTCTTGATCCAAACATCTGTTGGATTCATGCCTGATTCCTCCTGAGGGTTGGTAATAACAATTGCCATTCCCATAAAGCCTTTATGGCTCCTGAAAGAAACAGCAACAGAAAATAGGGCACTGTCGCACTGAGTCTTGCACTCGGTTCACTTGTTGTTCTTTTTCTGCTGACTTTCACAAAAGGATGGAACCTTTTTTTTTATTGTGCCGGGTGAGTTTGTTATCTTAGAAATACAGTAATTTACAGAAGACCCTTTTTGGTAGTTTCAGAAGAAACCTTTTAGAAAGCCTAGAAACGGGAAATTGCTAAAGCAAAGATAATTGCTGCAATTTCCTTGATGAGAAGTCTTGACAACTTCTCATGACAAGTTACAATAACCTTCCTAGAGTAATTAAAGTACAATCAATCCTGAAACCCTGGTGGGTTCAACTTTTTACGAAATTTGAGTGATATTTGGTTCTCTTGTTCTTGTTGCGCATGGTCATTATCACTGATGTGTAACCAGCGCAATTATATTTCACTCAGAACAATTTCCAACTTGTTCATTTCATGGACTGGGATTTCCGCTATTGGGGTCGCAATGATTGTTTCCTTTGTTTCCTCCATCTAGGCTGGCTAGGTTTAAATACCCCTGCTTGGTGAAATCTCAAGAGAGATCTCATCCAAGCTTCATACAGTAAACTCCATAGCCAAAACTCTGTTAAAGCTCAAACCTATTTTGAAGTAAAGTACAAGCTGGACTTGTGTGTTTGTGTATTTGCATTGTGGTATTGAATGTCTGTATGTGGATGAGAATATTGTATAAAGAATATTGATCCAGAATAAGAACTTATTGGTTCTTTTATTCTCGACTCAGTCCTGTAATAGAAAGGGCAACAAAATGCGTGGCAATGGATTTTTCCATGCCAGCCCAATCATCTCTTACCGTCCGTAAAATATTTATATCAGCGGCTAAGTTAGCAGCTCTGTTTCCAGTAGCTGTTGGTAAAGCAGCTTGAATTTGGGATATTTGATTATTCGTCTCTGTTAATTTTTGCTGAACATAAGTAAGTTTATCAGGGTAACTCATTTTAAAAAATGCATTATCTATGGAATCACTTCCACCTTGCTGTAAGGCAGGGGAAAGTTGGAGATTACTTTGATTACCCAAGTTTCCCGTGGCGGCGGCTGCGGCGGCAGCAGCTTCTGCAGCAGCTTCAGCTGGTGTTGCCATTATTTTCAAAATAAGGAAAAACAATTATTTCTTAGTAGAATCTGTTTTGGAAAAATATGTCAAGCACTCTTCTTGTTCAGGAGAGGCAGTGAAGTCTAATTCACCAGGAATTTGTCGGAGAAGAGGAATCTGGGAAATTTCAGAATTTGATGGAGTGGTGGTTACTGTGGTAGTAGTGGAGGCGGATGTGGTTGGAATGGGAGAATGTTTGGGTTCAGAAGGTTGGGAATCTGAGGTACCGTAAACGCTTTTGAAAAGTCGAGAAATTAAGAGAGCGTTATATTGTTGAGCATAAGAAGTTGGGGGAGGACCAGATTGAGAATTATTTTCTTGGGCTCCAGATTTGTTAGACATAAAATAAAACAAAATGTAATGAGTTTCCACACTTTCTCGCAATTCACTTTTTCACACTTTCACCCGCAAATTCAATTGTTTCTTGTTTTTAATCCCAAGCGGATCTTTTTTGTTTTTATCCCGAGCGGATCTTTTAGTTTAATAGAGGGTTTCTATTAACACTAGGGACAAAGAACTAACTTAATAAGTTCTTTTGTGCTTCTGTCCAGAAGGCTAACTTAGACAGGAGGCAACTTTTTTCTTTTTTGGAAAGTTTTAACAACTTCTTCTACCCGCAGGTAGGATCCCTTTTTCAAACTTCTATCTTTTTCCAGGAACAAGATTAACCTTTGCTTTTTTATGAGGATTTCTTTTCCCTTCAAAAAACTCGCTTCTACCCACGTAAGGTAGGAAAACTATTTTGGTTGATCAGGCCAAAAATAAGTTTTATTCTAACTCAAATGCAATTTCTATTGCTAAGCAAAAACACTTCTGGTTTTGACACTTCTTCCGTTACGATCTCTTCGTAATGGGAATACACAGCTCTCCTCAGAGTCTGTGCTAGTAATTCAGAAAGAAAAATTGAAAACTGAATTACTGCTGTCTGGAACTTTTCCACAAGCTCAGTCTTGGTCGCAACGCGTTGATCACCAGTCAGAGAATTTCAAGAATTGAAAGCACTGAACACACCACCCCGGCGCAAAAAGGAGTACCAACTGCGCCAGAATTTGTTATCCTATTTAGTTTAATTTTAATTTAGAATAACTAAAAGATAAAACTATTGGGAATGTAAGGAGTGTCTTTCCTCTTGGAGTTCTTTACTCCTTGATTCGCGGAGAGGCGAAGTGCTGGCAATGCGAGACTTTTGAAATAACAGACAGACTTTCTTGACAATACAAGTTTTATTCAAAGTCAGACAACTCAAACAACCAAACAATGCGAACGGCAGGGATTCTAAACTGACTCTGACTCCTTGGAGGATTTGGTGATCAACTGATTTTAGCAGTCTGGAGCTAGGGTTTATATACTCCAAAAACTGCTGGTTCCAACTTGGCCAAGAGTTTAAACATATGCAGGTCAT